GATGGAGACAGAGGCAGAGACACACACAGAGAGGGAGAGAGAGAGAGAGAGAGAGAGAGAGAGAGAGAGAGAGAGAGAGAGAGAGAGAGAGAGAGAGAGAGAAGATCTCTATCACACACGTTCCAAACAACACAAGCGCCACGAGGAATGTGCAGCAGGTCTACATGATAGGTGGGATCACCGAGATTTATATCATTTTAACCACGATAACCCGTGTAAGCCACCTCAGCAAGTTCGTCTTATAGAATGACCACAACACCGCCACAGATTTAACTCTGTTCGTACCCTTCCCTCACAAGATTGGAACCCTGTGTAATAATAACAACGTTGGTTGTGTGTTTATAAGTCGGGGTAACGCAAGAGTTAAGGAGGCTAGCAGAGAAGGGGCTTCTAGGAGTTATCAGGGAAGTTCTGGACCTGGACTTAACGTATTGGCACAAGTCGATGACGATGATAACGAAACAAGTCATTCTGAAACTTGCGTACGTCACGCACGGTTACCCGCCACTAATAATTGAAAATACAAATTTACCTGTTTAGTTCTGTATTTATTTACCTGTACCATTTGCGATGTTTTACCAAGTAGGTATCTATTATGGGCTTCAAGGCTAGTCCCAATTATTCAGACGGACTCAGCTAATATAATATATTAAACTCTTAACTTGACATGCTTAAACTTTTGGCACATGATAAAAATATTTTAAAATCAAATACTGATTGCTAACATTTAATTTCCAACCTATAGAGTCTAATTCAGCCCTTTGAAATCACGTTCAATTTACATTCTTTTTAATGCATACTTACAGGTAAAACCCAGTTACCAGTGGAAATAGTCTGTTGTGGATAATCAACGACTTGACAATATTCCACTACTGCGTTGTGGGTGTTTCAACAGTGTAATCTTTTTCTCAGTTTTTTGTCAGATGATGTTGGGGCACACCCCTTGATCGGCGGATAAGACACAGCAAAAATTTGAATTTATTTTGAGGCTCTATGTGTAAATATTGTTGGCAGTCTCGCACTTACAACCTCATACGTTTCTAGATAACACATTTAAAGATATTATGCTAGCAGATAATCATTTTGCTTTGCTTTTGGTTTATAGTAAAGAGAGCACTATGATCTTGTGAACTTCTGTTATTCTGAAATCGTTTCTTATTGTTCTGAGCACATTAGATGGGCAATGGGTTCTTCAGAAATCGGGCTATACTAAGGGGTCTGGGTCGGATTCTATTTATTAAAAAACCACGTATCATATGCTGATTTTTTCTCTTTTTTCTGTGAACCGGTCTTCAGGTGCGAATAGATATTAACGGGAAAAGTGGAAAAGTACAACCTTGCAAACCCGTTGCTTTATGTACCCTAAAACGACAACAACAACAACAACAACAACAACAATAACAACAACGATAACAACAACAACAACAAACGAACCCCTGTATTTTCTCTTACTCGCTCCCATATTCTATACGAGTATACATGAAAAGGATTGAAACTGAAATTCTTTCTTTTAACGCTACTAATTATACCAATATCAAGGGATTTTCTGAAAATATTCATAATATATTATATCTCCTCATGACGAACTCAGTGGAAGGCGGCATCTGTAACAATTTTCCACTTTTGATGTTGTCTGTTTTGATCTATCATTCGACCTATGCCATTCTGGTCATCAACAACATATTCACGAGAAACGACCAACGTCTTACCGACATATTTAGAGAGAACAACCCAAGTTCTTATGAACATGGGACATTAAAGCGGTAATCCTCCATATTTCCTTCTACTAATGGCGCTTTCCTCTAGTCTTCACATGTTCAGTCAACTGAACCTTAGAACTCCACAGGTTGAGGCTCAATTGCACAAGTGTTCTGAAAATCTGGCTGCTTTACTCCTTAAGTGAGGGTCTCTCTGGATCTCTTTTTAAAAAACCCAACCTGCTTAGCATCTTTTTAGAGTGGTTTGTTTGAATTTTTTACACTCCCATCACTGCAGTTTAGACAGTTAAGCTGCCCGGCTACATTGACCCTGCCTGTCAAGACCAACCCAATTTTTGTGGGGTACTCGATTAAAAAATAAATTCCCCACACTAGAATCGAACTCAAGTCTTCAGCATGCAACGGCAAAGAGCTGCTGCTTCTTCTTCTTCTTCTTCTTCTTCTTCTTCTTCTTCTTCTTCTTCTTCTTCTTCCTCCTCCTCCTCCTCCTGAGAAAGTTTGAAAGCTTTGATTACGTTCCATTGCCCCTCTTGCCGAAAGCGCACTATTAAGTATGAATTTTGAACATAATGATCTCTTCCCGTTTTTCTTTAAGTTCACGGCTCTTTACTTTTCGTCCATCATTCTGTATCGTTTCTACTTCAATTCGGTTTCCTTAAAACCCAAGGTGGATTTTATATCGATCTACGCTTAACTGATGAGAATCGTTTCCAAGAACTATGAAGTAGTTCATTATAAGAAAGCTCACATGGATTTTCTCACCATGTCATGGCAATCTGACAGGTAATGAAAGGGCCTCTTAGTTTGCATTGAAAGCAGCGGTGGCCAGAACAATAAGAACACAAAAACAGAAAGTTGCCTAAGTTAATAAAAGATCAAACGAAAATATTGAGACTATAGATGGAAAGAATCAGAGTCAGCCACAGATTGAACATCTGGGAATCAGAAACAAATTAAGAATAATAGAAAGGCAAAACGAAAACGAAATGGAAAAACGTTTGATCAACCAACAGCCAGAGAGGTAAACATACACACTCCCCAGGTGTACTGAATTTGGGGTAAGTGTGGGTTGCTCACCGTGATAAACAACGCAACCTAACTTTTGAAGCTTCGAACTAGGGTCATCCACATCTGGGATCCGCGTGATACCAACTATGCTTTTGGTAAGCCTTCCAACAATAAAAACTGAGGTGATAAGTGTTTAGACGTTATTGGCGGTAGAGTCGAACCTGCAACAGAGCAAAGGAAATCAAATCTCAAGAAAGGTTCACTGATTATATTTTAGAAATCTGTTATTGTGATTGCAATTCAAGGCGTTTCATGTACTTATCGACATTATCAAATCATTTAGGAGACGGGCTGCTTCGCTCGATCGTTTCTGCCAGGGCCACTTTGGCTTTCAAGAATACAACCTTCCTCCAGAAAGACGGAGATACTCAATAAAAATCCTCCCCGCACAGGAATTTACTTCACGTTTTCTGCGTGAGACAGCTTACCACTACCCCACAGACGCCGGACACTTGTTAGGTATGTCGTAGCGTTGTACAGTATCCGGCAGTCGTGCGTCTCCATTTATTCCAACCATGG